CCCAGCAGTAAGGGGCAAAACCCCTGTGTCAGCCTGAAGTCACCCCAGGAGTAAGGGACAAAATCAGGACTCATTGAGATACAATTCACACACCGTAAGGCCCCCTTCCAAAAAGAAAGAAAGAAAGTGTGCAGCTAGGTGATTCTTAGAATAATAACGGTTATGTATCCATGATCACCAATTTCAGAACATTGCTCTGGCCCCCAAAACGAACCCTAGACCTACTTCAGACACTCCCCATTCTCCCTTTCTCCTGGGCCTGGGAATCACTAACCTACCCTATCTTTGTGAATTTGCCCTCTCTGTGATCATTTCTTCTGAGCATACGCCATCCCCTTTGATAGGCTATAAATTATTGAAATTTTTCTAATGACACCAAAGGCCGTGACTGAGCTGTAATGAGCACATCCCTGAGATTAGTGAGAGTACTGGCTGGTTCTGCGTGTCCACTGACACAAGGTAGAGGCATCTGAGAGGAAGGAGCTTCTCCTGAGGAAATGCCTCCATGAACTCCAGCTCTAAGGCTTCTTCTCAGTTAGTGACCAATGCGGGAGGGTCCAGCCCATTGTGGGTGGTGCCATCCCTGGGCTGCTGGTCCTGGGTTCTATAAGAAAGCAGACTGAGCAAGCCATGAGAAGCAAGCCAGTAAGCAGCACCCCTCCACCGCCTTTGCATCAGCTCCTGCCTCCAGGATCCTGCCCTGTTTGGGTTCCGGTCCTGACTTCCTTCAGTAACCAACAGCTTTGTAGAGGTGTATGCCTAATAAACCCTTTCCTCCCCAACTTGCTTTTGGGTCACGGTCTTTCGTCCCAGCAATAGAAACCCCAACCAAAACAGTGAGGTCACTCAAACCCTGGTCACTGCCCTGCCTCGGGGCTGGCTATGTGCCCAGTCTCTCCAGATATCAGGGGTTGCATTGGAAATTGGAAATTTACAATTCTATGGCAATTGATATCCAATTGGTTGGGGTTTTTTTTTGTTTTGTTTTTTGTTTGTTTGTTTTTGTTTTTCAAAAGCAAAAATATTATTCCCAACTCGGATCCAGGACCTCAGTGCTGAGATAACCCAGTTCTGGGAATACGAATCCGGGGCCTTGGATGTACTTGGCAAGTGTTCTACCATTGAGCGGCATCCATTATTTTTAACCATTCTTCTAAAAATGCCATAAAGCAAAGCCCCAGGAGCCCCCGACTGGACAGGAAAACTGAGAACCTGCTGGCACGATGCTCCTGGGTAAGGAGGGCCTCTTTTCTCTCTGGGTCCCCTGCCGTGTGTAATCACTCAAGCTTG